ACCCTTACGATCATACAGATACCACAAAATGGTTTCTAACTTGTACGGTTGCAGAGAAATAGACGATTTTCTACAAGTCACTTTTCAAGGTTTTTGGTCTATAAAAGTGGCCATTATTTTTCAATTTTCATACATTTTCACCATGTGATGCCTTATGCCATTTATGATTTCATCGAACTAATTCAACATTTTCATTATCACCGGAAGTAATATCATTGTGGCAAAAACTGTATTTTTAGCCTTCAAACAGGTATTTTATTCAAATGAGTCTGATTTGTAAAGTTTTTAAAATTATGATATTTAATTCCAATCTCAAAAAAATAGAATTAACCCATATGTTCATACAGATACCACAAAATGGTTTCTAACTTGTATGGTTGCAGAGAAATAGACGAATTTCTACAAGTCACTTTTCAAGGTTTTTGGTGTATAATAGTGGCAATTATTATTCGATTTTCATAAAATTTTAACCATTTGATGCCTTCTGCCTTTTTTGATTTCATAGAACTAATTTAAAATTTTCATTATCCCCGGAAGCAATGTTATTTTTGCAAAAAACGTATTTTTACCCCCCCAAAACGAACATTTTTTTGAAGTGAGTTATATTTATTATTCGTTTAACATTATGATATTTGACTCCAATGGACATATAGATTGAATCAATAAGATCATATAGATGTCCAAAAATAGCTTGTTGCGAAAAAACAATTTTTTTCAGGATCACTTTTTTGACATATGTAACACAGGGTAACAAATGCATGAATGAAATTAATATTGCTGGGTTTGATTCATTCTGCGTCCATTTTATAACATGTCTGCAATGTTTATGTGGAAATCTGTTTATCGGTGCCATTGGTACTGAAAGTGATATTAGTTCAAAGGTAATGTGGCACCAAAAATGACACAAGTTCAAGGGTAACGTGGCACCAGTGAAACCTGTCATTACTGCTTAGCAGTTCTAGTTTCTCCTGTTTTTATTATGCCTGTTCGGGTCATTTTTATTTTTTATTTTGTTAGTAGGAAGATTGCTAGTTGTGGGTAACATTCAAATTGTGGATGGACGGATAGTGGCAATTGTTATATCTCCCCGGCCATATATCTCAATGATTGCATCGGATTTAACTCAGATTAAAAACACACATACAAATCTAATCAACCACGTTTTATTAATCTCATACACGCAACTCTAATTAACAATAGAGGGGTACAACAATTGAAATAGTGATCACATGATTAATAAGTAACCTTATATAGATTACATACATATTCATCAGACACTACAATTCCTCCCCTTTACTTTAAAAGTAATCTACATGTATTGCTTTTAAATCTACAAATATTTTAGCTATGAATAATAAAAAGAAATCAAAACAAATATTGTAATTATAATGTAAATACTACATGCTTAATGATAAAATATAAAGTTTCAGTAAATGAATATTGTAGATAAATCCTTGCCTTGGATTAAGAATTATCATAGGACTATTCAAATATAAACATGCAACAAACAGATTAACAATCGTCATTTGACCATATCAAAATCTTGATACCTTGTAGGAAGTAAATTACATTCACGTTCTGACTTATGTAAATCGGTAGAAGATTGAGAACTATCTTGATTAGGTATACTACCTTGATGTACAACATTTTTACTAACATCACTCTGATCTAACACAGTATTACTGCTATCATTTTGACCAGCTGGCTTTTCAACAATAATATCATCAAAATCAAACATTCTATTATTTTTAGACTTAGGGCTAGTAGAACTTCCACCACTATTGAAATCATTAGTACTTTGATTCAACTTATTAATAAACTTTTTAACATGCGTAGAATTTCTCTTATACCTCACACCTTGTTCATTTTCTACAGTTACACTATTACCATGTTTAGATATGACATGATATGGATTAGCTTCAAAATTTGCCATTAACTTATTCTCAGGCTTTTGTTTCAATAAAACTAAATCACCCAGTTGTCAGGGACTGTAGAAAAAAAAATTGAACCCCCAGAAATTCCACCAAAATACAAATACGATAAATTGAAGCAATCGGGCAATGCACAACAACTTACTTGAAGATTAGATAGAGTTTCGTTCAAATCAAAAAAAACGAAAAGCGAGTAATTACAAAAATACGGAGCTCCCGGGTGGATTACACCCAGTTGTCAGGGATCATCAGGTATAAAATATTATTCCTATATAATTAGTATTCCTATATAATGTGGATACCGAAATCGAAAGAATTGAGACATATGTGTTGTGAATATACGTCATTGGATGAAATGTAATTTTCTAAAATTGAATGACGACAAAACAGAAGTCATACACATAGGCAAAAATAAAATTTTGGAGTCCGTCCACCTTGATCATATTTCTATTGGTGATGTTAAAGTAAAATCAACTGAATCTGTAAAGAATTTAGGAGTCTTATTTGACAGTAACTTTCAATTCAACACTCATATTAAATTTCCATTTATATAATATTGGAAAACTACGTCCATTTATTGACATCGACACTTCTAAAATATTGGTTAATGCTTTTGTTTTATCGAACTTGGATTACTGTAACTCTCTTCTGTTCAATTTACCTTACCTGCTTTACAAATCAACAAACTACAAAAGCTCCAAAACCGAGCAGCTCGGATCGTAACTGAAACAAAACCACGTGAACATATTTCTCCTGTGCTAAAACAGCTACACTGGCTCCCGGTTAGAGAAAGAATAATATTTAAGATAAATGTTATTACATATAATACACTGAATAATATGGACTCTCCTAAATACCTTCAAGAAATTATTACACCCTACACTCCCTCTCCTTCACTTCGCTCACAGAATGAGAACCTTCTCGTATGTCCTTAAAGTGGTGAAAGAACTTTCGCCCATAGTGGCCCAACATTATGGAATAGGCTATCAAAAAAGACTAAAGACTCTAAAAACATGACATCTTTTAAGAAATCTCTTAAGACTGAACTCTTTAAATCTGTTTACCCTTAGTGCTAATAACTGTTTTGTTTATGGTAATTTTACCAGTTCAGACATTTATTTTGTTCATTCCTTGTGTTTAAATGTTTATCGTATCATCGTTATTTTCATCTTTTAAATATGTCTTATGTAGATAGTGCTATTGAGCAACCAGTTTGTTGGATATTCAGCGCTTTATAAATAGATTATTATTTTTATTATTATTATTACGGGTGTGTTACACCCAGTTGTCAGGGATCAGGTATGAAATATATTGCAAGGGAAAGGGTTAACCAATGAACGATTCTGTTGCTCATCCCACCATTTGCCTGAGGCCATATTGGTGTGGTACACCTATGCTTAATATCATTGCAGGGCTGGAATTAACGGCCGGATGTCGTAACCTGCTTACAGGTTACCACAAAATACAAGATGGTAACCTAACAGGTTACCATACAGGTTGCCTGAAAATGGAATAGGCTATCAAAAAAGACTAAAGACTCTAAAAACATGACATCTTTTAAGAAATCTCTTAAGACTGAACTCTTTAAATCTGTTTACCCTTAGTGCTAATAACTGTTTTGTTTATGGTAATTTTACCAGTTCAGACATTTATTTTGTTCATTCCTTGTGTTTAAATGTTTATCGTATCATCGTTATTTTCATCTTTTAAATATGTCTTATGTAGATAGTGCTATTGAGCAACCAGTTTGTTGGATATTCAGCGCTTTATAAATAGATTATTATTTTTATTATTATTATTACGGGTGTGTTACACCCAGTTGTCAGGGATCAGGTATGAAATATATTGCAAGGGAAAGGGTTAACCAATGAACGATTCTGTTGCTCAACCTCACCATTTGCCTGAGGCCATATTGGTGTGGTACACCTATGCTTAATATCATTGCAGGGCTGGAATTAACGGCCGGATGTCGTAACCTGCTTACAGGTTACCACAAAATACAAGATGGTAACCTAACAGGTTACCATACAGGTTGCCTGAAAATGATTTGTGGTAACCCATCAGGTTTTCTGCTATGTATTGTATTATTAATGACAACGTCTATGGTAACCTGTAGGAATTGGAAGTGAAAGATCAGAATTTAATAAAATTGAGAAATGAAGTCATCTTTTCTTTGTTTTAATATTGAACATGAACATTTGTAACACAAACTGAATATGATTCAATGATTTTAAAAATTATTCAATATTACATGACTTGGTTTTTAAAATACACTGAAAATTCAGATCAATATGTCACTTCAGTTTATCAGTTTAAAACTTATGAAACAATTTCATTTGTATTTTATTTACTATCCAAATTGGGTATATAGTATTTTCACTTTTAAAAAAAAATTCACAAAATCTGACTAGAAAACTCAATATTAATTTTAACAACTGAAACTGTATTGAAATTGATTTTTCTCGTCAGAATTTGTGGTGTTATTTTAAACTGTATTGACAGTTTAAAATAACACCACAAATTCTGACTAGAAAAATCAATTTCATGAACCGTTAGTAGTTATAACATGTTTGCTCTAAGTTAAGTCACGTCTGACATCCCATTCTCCATTTCCGACTCATCTGTCCCCGCGTCTATCGCGTCTTATTTCTGTGTAGTGCGTACTGCATATCTTACATGTGAGCTTTGTAAGTTTATTGTCATTGTCCACCTCGTAGGAGAAGGCTCCGTTGAAATCCCATGACAGGAACGTCTTCAACGCGACTGTCTCACGTTTCGATTTCGTCGCGGGGGCTGCCATTTTTAAACGAACGAAGTCGAGACTGTACAGTTGCTAAGGAAGGAAATTTTGGTCATCGAGTATCACAAGATCGGAATACCACAAGGGAAATCCCCCCGATCAGGAGTCTGACCTTCTATCTGTATACATGTATATACACCATGTCGTACCAGACAATATATTTTTTTTATTATGTATTGTCTGGTACGACATGGTGTATGCATATCTATATGGATAGAAGGTCAGACTCCTGTGACGAAACACAAGTCTAATATACATTTCCAACGAACCTGACTCCAGCGAAATTCATCTTCATATTGTTGAACTTGTTTTTTACGTTGAATCCAATCTGCAGCTTGTTTAGTAATACTTCGTTCTAACTGTTGCTTCTGGAAAATTGAATCAAGTTTCATAAATCCCCATCAGGATATTTTCATTACTTATCTAAATATAGCCATGTAATATGTGGAAATATGCTTCAAACAGCAGATGTGTGTTAAAAATGTATAGCCATAGACAGCAGCTTATCCAAATAGAAAACTTGGATGCTGACCAAATTTGAAAAGGAACCTTTATGCCCTAAAACAATCTGATCTCTATCATGTTCATAAGCTTTTCCGGAGACATAATATATCTCTGAAACAGCTAAAATGCTGAAGGCCAGCAGAGATCATACTCTTGTGACTCCGCGATGCTTTACACCAAATTTGAAAAATAAAACAGATTTCAGACTGTAGTCTGTCATGCCAAGGTTGCGGGACATTGAATATGGATGATTCCAATGTTTCACACCAAATTTGAGAAAAGTTTGTTAGCCTCTAGCTGAATATCAATTGGGTTATTTGTTTCATGACCATAATGCTTCAGTCTCTATTGCATTCACAAGGTTTTAAGCAAAGGGGCGTAACACTGGAACAGAAAGTCACAGAATGATGAATATCGACAGGGTTCGTCCTCTCATGATGCCAATAACCCCGTTAAATTACAAATTAAAAGCGTGCCAGGCACGGCACGATTATTTTTTTTGTAGTGTAAACGGATCAAACATAAGCATGCCATACTCTGAGTATCGTGCCAATTTGGCCAACTAAAGTGAGGTACGACATGGTCAAATCTTCGTAGTGTGTAAACGCTATCCGGTCTGAGATCGGTTCTCAGCACGGATTACTGCGCATGCACCAAATGAACCTTGACCTTTTTTCCGCAAACTTTGACAGTTCTATCAAAATGGCTGCCCAAACTAAATCAACCGCCATCACTGTTTTCATCTGGGTAATTCGCATAGGGACTGTTCCGAGACGAGTTATTTTAGAGTAATGTAAATGAGCTAATTTCTTGAAATTTATCGTGGCCTGGTACCGTGCTGAGAACGACACGCTTATCGTGGCCAAGTGTAAACGGGGCTTCCCACCAAATTTCGAAAGATTCCATAACAAGCGGTTGCCATGCAAGATACGCCCACATCTGCAAGAGATGGACAGAGAATTGATTTTTCGTACAATCAAGGGCCATAATTCAAGAAGTTATGATCCGATATGCATGAATATTGAAAGGAACCAAGATCTTTGGGTTATAAACATGTATTTAAAGTTTCATCAAAATTGGATCAAAATTGTGTCCTCTCTCTAGAGGGTCCAAAACCTTGATATACCATATATTAACAATTTTTGCATACGAGGGGCGGCCATTTTGTCTGTCAGTTTTGGTTCGATTTTCATGAAATTCGAACTCAACCTTCATTACGGTGTAACAGTGATATATTCAAACAGTGTTTTAAATTGGATAATAATTGTGACCTCTAGAGCGACCCCAAGCTAAAAATGCCATTTTTCGTACAATCAGGGGCCATAATTCAGGAACATAAGATCCGATATGCACGAATATCGAAGGCAACCGAGATCTTTAGGTTATAAGCATACATTTCAAGTATAAGCATACATTTCAAGTTTAAACCAAATTGGATAAAAATTGTGACCTCTACAGTGTTCACAAGCTAAAAACGTGATTTTTCATACAATCAGGGGCCACAATCCATGAAGTTACAGTTTGATACATGCCAATATCGAAAGGAACCGAGATCTTAGGGTGATAAACCTATATTTCAAGTTTCGTTGAAATCGGATAAAAATTGTCACCTGTAGACTGTTCACAAACAATTGTGGACGGACGGACGGACAGGGGCGACAACAATATACGTCCACATGAAAATGTGGGCGTATAAAAACTGGTCAAGGTTATTGCATAGTTGTAAGATACAATGTTTCAACAGCGTACATTAACAAGCAGTTGCCCACATTTTGCAAAAGATGGACTGAAAATGAGCTAAAAAAAAAATGTGTTTTTTGTACAATCATAATCCTGGAAGTTACTGTCCGATAGGCACGAATATCAAAAGGAACCGCAATTTTTCGATATAAACATATATATGTTTTCAGTTCCATCAACATCGGATAGAAATTGCGACTTCTAGAGGGTCCACAACCTTGGCATTACATACTTTTACACTATTTGCATGCTAGAAGCAGCCATTTTGTCAGGCAGTTTCGGTCTGATTTTCACAAAATTTGAACTCAACCATCATTAGGGTGTAACGGTCAGTAGCGGATTATCAGTGAGGCTGATGAGGCTGCAGCCTCAGGCCCAAAGATTTTGTAAAAAAAAATTTTTTAGACTTGTCTGATACGATTAAAAACGCATAGACAATGAATGTTAGGGGGTGGCGTTTAGGCCCAACGGGAATCAACATAGGCCCTCACCCAAAATTAATTAGGCCCACGCCATTTTAAATAGGCCCTATTGTTTGGAGATCTGATCTTTATTTTTAAACGTAGGCCTACAATGTACGTTAAATCCTTGTAAGTTTCGGTTATGTCTTGCCTAATATATTGTATCCACGTGACGTCATTTATGGGCATATAAAGTTACATTACCAATATAAAACGACTTTGGCTTAAGAAAAAATATCTAGCAAAAGATCTTGCGCTAGTTTCGATCAGGGGCGTGCTGGCCCCAAAGGGGCCCGTCGGTTGCCTAAGGCGGTCCGCGCGCCAAAGGCGCGCCGCTGGTAGGGGGTCTTGGAGGGTTCTCCCCCCAGAAAATTTTTGAAATTTGACAACGGGAAACGCATTTTGCAAGCACTTCTGGGAGAAATCTAATATATTTTACTAATCGTTGTGTATGTATGATTTTTCGCGTGCGCACTCTCAATTTTTTGAGGGGATTCCGCGTGAAAATTAGAGCTCTCAGGGGGGCCCGCTTATGCGGGTGGACTTATTGTTTAATGGGGGCCTGGGAGGACACCGTCCGCCTAAACTCCCTGCCAGCACGCGCGTGGTTTCGATGTAAACACCTCATCATGAGGAAATATTATCCTTGAAAAAAGGTGTATGTACAGTTGGTTTCCGGTGACGTTTCTGCTGTCAAAGCATTTTGTACGACAAATTTCAATAGTTATAACTAATATTTTAAATAATATTATAACCTCAGTAACGAATCCCGTTTTTAATGTTAGCAACTACCTTGGCTCTAACTTTAAAAACTAAATAGGCCCTCCAGCCACTGCCGCCTCAGGTCTTGGTGGAGCTTAATCCGCCACTGGTAACGGTGACATATTTAAATAGTTTTTAAAATCGGATAATAATTGTGACCTCTAGAGGGACCGCAAGCTAAAAATGTGATTTTCCGTAAAATCAGGGGCCATAATCCAGGAAGCTAGTGACCGATATGCGTGGGGTCATTTTAAGTTTCATCAAAATCAGACAAAAATTGTGATTTTTCATACAATCATGGGCCATAATTTCAGTACCTTCGGTATGAATCACGTTTTGTTTTCGTAAGAGTATTTTTTATTCTCGATTTTATTCAGAAGTTGCAGCCCAAACTGTGCATGGTGCAAATATTCTGAAATTGTAGATTTGTTGGCCTCCGCGGAAGTTTTACGGATAGGACATAAAATTGGTCATATCTCGGTTATTTATCAACGAATCTTTGTTGGGTTTTCATTTTTGGATTCTTTGGACAAATCCCATAGGGGCTCTCACTGACGGTTTTTCGAAATTCACAAGTTCACTCGCTTACTTTTAGAATCAAAGATTTTCGAAAAATATCTATAGCATTTTTTTGACATTTCAGGTATCAAGTTGAAACTTGGTAGGAATAAGGAACACATTGATGCCTTTACACTAGCATATTACAATTTTTTGTGACGGCTTCCGGGAACTTCCAGAAAATCCCTGATTTTTCCCCGAACATGAATAGTTCTCTACATTGTAAAAATGGACTAAAAATCCCATATGGTGGTGTTAGCCCCAGATATTATCTTTCATTTTCAGCAACCTTGTTCCATAAAATTTTCAACCGTTTGGCCGCCATATTGGATTTTACGAAAAGCTTCAAATCAATGTTCAGCTGCCATTTTGATTCTGGTTTTCAAAAACCTTTTTTTGTTTTGAAGCCAGCCTAGGTGGCAACAATTCTCAGGGCGGCCAATTTTTTAATTTCAATTTTATTTTCTAAGTGCGATTCGAACCCATAACTTACCAAAGCGCGGTTAAGCCAGTCTAACTGGCCTAACCTGTGATCTATTAAGCCATCGAGGAATGCTTTATCTGATAACCTTGAATCTCTACAATAACACACAATAACATTAATTTCTCGAATACCTTGAATATCGATATATGACAGTTCTACATTGGTAATTAAAAATACTACATTTAATACTGATCAATTAAGATCAGAGAGAGAGAGAGAGAGAGAGAGAGAGCGTTTCTATTGACAGGATTTAAACCATGACCTATGCACCAAAATGTAGCCAACCAGCTCTTTATCGACTGAGCCATATAACAATTTAATAGCCTATGTAAAGAAACTGGTTTGGTAGTTTTCAGGTAGCAGAGGTATAAGCACTTTCTCATCAGTATTGGGAAACTAAATAAGTTAAGAATCGTTAATGGTTTGGTATCATACATAAACAATCTATTAATTAATTGAGAAAACTATGTTCGTGAAGTTACGTAAACCATGGTTTCTTGTGACATCTTTGCTCATTTGTAAATTGTGTACGCTTGATAAAGGCTATTCGATTTTTGTCAGAAGTTGCAGCCACAACTGTACATGGTATTCTGAAATCGTAGATTTATTTGTTGGCCTCCACCGAACTATTTAATAAATATAAATTAGGTCATTTTTGGCAACCCAGAATAGTTTTACAGATAGTACAAAAGATTGCCTATATCTCGGTTATTTCTCCACGGATCTCTGTAGCGTTTCATTTTTGGATTCTTTGGACAAATCCCATAGGGGCTCTCACTGAGGTGTTTTCGAAATTATGAAGTTTACTCACTTACTTTAGAATGAATCTTTTTCCAAAACTTTCTTAATCATGACATTCAAGATGGCGTATCTCTGTCACATATTTGAGGTATCAGGTTGAAATTTGGTAGGAATAAGGAACACACCTATGCCTTCAAAATGGAATAATGAAGTATATTGCGATGGCTTACGGGACTTCTGGAAATTTCTGAGGCCTTCCGATATTTCACGAACATAAATAGTTCTCTCCATTTTGAAAATAAACTAATTATGATCGTGTTAGCCCCAAATACAGTCTTTCATTTTCAATGACCTTGTTCCATAACATTTTGAACGTTTGGCCGCCATATTGGATTTTACTAAAATGCTTCAAATCATTCAGTCGCCATCTTTAATCCAATTTCCGCAAACTTTGTTTTGCTTTGAAGCTGGTCCAGGTGGCGAAAATTCTTGATCTGACATGTGCACAACATAAGACCAACACTATTCGGTCACGGTCTCACTATGGGGACATTGATATCCCCACGTCAACGGTGGTCCATATCGTCTCTGAAGTTTCCATAACAACCTCATTTCAATCTCGGTGATTGTACCCATAATGATCTGAGATAACACATTTTTCGACCAATCCACCGTCAAGTCGGTTTAGCATTCGGTGTTGTTCATGATATTTGTCTGGAAAATCTTACTAGAACAGAACGGAAAGTCCAGTGCACACCAAAATCGAATTCATCCAAGATCTTTTGATTTTTAACATATATCTTATGTTTCATCTAAATTGGACAAATATTGCAGCCTCTGGAAGGGGGGGGGGGAATAACACTAAAATGGGAGGTCTGATGTGCACCAACAACAAACTCATCAGTGGTCTTTTGTTCTTAATACATATTATGATGTGCACCAACAACAAACTCATCAGTGGTCTTTTGTTCTTAATACATATTATGATAAGTTTCATCGAAATCGGACAAAAGTTGTGAGCTCTAAAGGGTCTACAAACTTTGTACATTTCACATTTTGTGTAAAAGGCAGGGGGGAGTAACTCTCGACTGAAGTATTTTTATAAGCCCACATTGAAATGTGGTCGTATATTGTCGTCGCCTCCATGCGGCATCCACAATTGCTTGTGTTAATATTCGACTGACTTTAAATTTATACATAGTGTTTAAGGTCATGAGACGAAGAATCCTATTGATTTTCCACAATTTCCAATAATAACTGCCAGAATTATGGCCCTTGATCACTTTGAAATATCTTGCGGATGCTTTAGAGGCTAAAGTTAATATTCAATTGACTTTATATTTATACACAGTGTTTAAGGTCATCAGACAAAAAAGCAATTGATTTTCAACAATTTCCGATAATTACTGCCAGAGATATAGCACCTGATCACTTTGAAAAATCTTATGGATGCTCTAGAGATCAAATTTATCATCTGATTGATTTTAAATTTATACTCCGTGTTTACGGTCATGAGACGAAGACACCTATATATTACCAAGGATTTTCAATAATTACTGCCAGAGTTATGGACATTGATTACTTCGAAAAATCTTGTGGATGCTGTACAGGCAAAGTAATCATTCTTGAGACGAAAAAGTATATTGATTTTCAATGATTTTTGATAACCTGAACTGCTAAATCCATGATATTAAATGGTTTGTATACTAAAGGTTAGCATGTGGCAGAACTAGAAGCCAAACAAATTATAATGATTTTGTGATAATTGTTACTCTTAATCAGATTTTTTTAGTGTATTATAAATGTTTCATTAGCGACAAAAGAAAAAATATGTGACAACTCTTGTTGACTGCTCGGACCATTTAGCTGCTGTGGGCGTATGTTTCGTTGCCTGACAACCTATCTTTTGATATTGTATCATATTTATTATTGTATATCATATGAAAATGTGGGCATATTTAAACAAACCTGGGCTTTTTCTTTCTGTAATTTTTTTGTTAGTTCTACTCTCACTTTTTCACTGGTATCAAGTTGATGCTAGGAACAAAGAAAACTCTTTTACATGGATATTTATTCAAATTCAATCTGAAGAATTGGTAGTTGTATAGTTCCATATCATTTCTTACTGTAGACCCCACTTCCCAGTAATGTATCTATCTTGTTGATTACTATACTTATCAGAATTGTATCTATCTTATCGATTACTGTTTCTAATAGAGTATTTATCTTATCGATTACTGTACTAACTACTAGTGTATCTATCTTAATAAATACTGTACTTACTAGTAGTATATCTATCTTATCGATTACTGTATCTATCTTACTGAATACTGTACTTACTAGTAGTGTATCTATCTTACTGATTACTCTACTTACTACTAGTGTATCTATCTTATTGATTGATATACAGGTTATTGGAATACAATTACTGGTTATTTACTGAGCAATGTTTCAACTAGGCCTCTCTAGATTGACTGCCACGTCGCTCAGTAAATAACCAGTAATTGTTTCCATAGAATTGTGACCTGTATATTTCAGTTCTGCAATTACTAAATGCCATTGAAACAATTTGTGTATCTTATTATTTTATTACTGTACTTACCAGTACTGTATCTCTTATTTATTACTGTACTTATCAATATTTTATAGATCACATTGATTACTGTACTTACCAGTATTGTTTCTTCTTTATTCATTACTGTACTTTCTAGTACTGTATTACTCTCTAATTATTGTACTTACTAGTAGTGTATCTCTATCAGTCATTGATTCTTTTGCCCTCTTCATTAAATCAATATTTTCGTGTCTCAACTGTGAAACTTCCTTTTGTAAACTAACATTTTCCTGAGAAAGGCACTGAAGTAGAGAATTACAAATATGTTGTTGTTTTTTTTGTGTGCGTGGACAATATCAATAATAAGCCCAATTTTTAAAAAAAAGTTATCAGAGAAGATTTTTGAAAATTATTCAAATACTACCCTCTGTAAACTGTAAAGTGCATTTAATTGGTAATGAAATTCTCCAAATAAACAATTCTTATTTTCCACCTCCCTTAATACCAACATACAAAATTGAAGGAGCCGTAGAAAGGACAAAAGTGTTAACCTGATAAGTAAAATTCATATAAATTTTTTAAAGTAATATTCAAAACCAAAAGTTTTATAGAAAAAAAAAAACGGGTGTCAAGGTGGCTCAGTGAGTAAGATGCTGGCCTGCTAACCTGGCGGTCACTGGTACACTGTTTTTGTTGGCCGAGAAAATTCATCAGGATTTTCCAGCGTGGGTTCCCCTTATCAGTGGTGAAGAATGCAGGGCCTGACAAGGACAGCTGTCTAGTCGTTTGGGTTTTACAAATAAAAAAAATGAGTTTCTGTATACACATTGGCGTGCACTTAAAAGATCAATTAGCAGTTGTAATTCGATTTAAGAGTAGACCATAGCGACGCTGTCCAGGCAAAATTTCCCTCATAGCACAAGCATAAAACAAGCAGTTATGTGGCTTGTATCAAAGTTACCTCATTTTTTCGTATAATATCATTAACACGCACACCATGACTTAACATTGACTGAAAATTTGGTGCTTCCTGTCTTATGTGTGGATTTTCCTGCACAGGATTTACTTTAACAGGTTTTTTTGATTCTTCATTATTTATTCCTTCAAATTTTGTTTCTTCTTTATCTGTTTTGTTACCAGACTTTGACGTTGCTCCTTGAGAACGTTGTTTTTGTCTTTCACTTTCATATAAGTCCCTATAGCGATTGGTCAATTCATGTGACTTTTTCAGCTCCTCTTGCATTGCTTGAAGTTTACTATTTGCTGTAAAACATTCTATAACATTTTAAGAGACAACAAATGGCACTAAAACAGCATGGTTGAAAAAATCTCAACATATTTTTTTTCACAAACTACACAGCTATAACATCAAGTTGGATGAACATGTACCGGTAGGTGGACTGGGGTGATGTGGATGTATTAAGATATTTAAGATATTGCTTTTACAAGTTTTTTGGGGAATAGAGGGCATAACTCGTGGAACGCTGAATATTGATAGGGTTCATTCTCAAATGACCCCAATGCTTCACACCAAATATTACAAACATCTGGAAAAAAATATAGCCTCTATCGTGTTCACAAGGAGGGATGACTTCGGAACGGAAAGTCACAGAACGCTTAATATCGATAGAGTTCATACTTTAATGACCCCAATGATTTCTGCCAAATTTGAAAGAAATCTGTTAAAAGCTATTGCAATGACAATGTTTTTGGAAAAGAGGGATAACTCTGTAACAAAAATGCTGAAAATCAATAGGGTTCATCCTCTAGATCATGACCCCAATGCTTCAAACCAAATCTGGTAAAAACTGTAGTTTACATCGCATCACTATGGGAACGAAAAGTTGTGGAAAGCTGAAAATTGGTAGGGTTCATTCTCTCATGACCCCAATGCTTACAACCAAGTTAAGAAAAATTCTGTTAAAATTTGCAGTCTCAATCGTGTTCACAAGTTTTTTGGACAAAGGGGGATAACTCTGAAACAGGAAGTTGCAGAATGCCGTAAAATTGATATATGTTGCATTCTCTCATGACCACAATGCTTACAAGCTTGAAAAAGTTTTATTTAAAATAGTAGCTTCTATCGCATTTTCAGCAATGGGGGGACGACTCTGGAAAGGAAAGTCGTAGAATGCTGAATATTGCTGTCAATGACATATATACTCAGCCAAATTAAAAACTTGACACTCAGGATTTTTGGGACTAGATTTTTAATATTTGGTTGAAGGCAACTATTTTAGTGTTATGTTGTGCACAGACGACCTTGACATCAACAGAAAGCAAGAATACGTCTCGCCGAAAGTCCTTGACATTGATAAAGTTTGTGATGTCACAGTACCCCCAAAAATGAAATTCACAGACTTGGAGAACAATCGGAATAAAGTGTTTAGTAACGGTTGTGGCCTCCTCTAGCGTCTCGTACTGCCACACAACGTCTTCTGATGGATCTCAGAACATTAGTAAACACTACCCGAGGAAGACGTCGCCACTGCTCAGCAAGAGCATGTTGAAGGTCCTGCAACGTCAGTGGTGGATTCACTTGCTGACGAACACGTCGACCCATTTCGTCCCAGATGTGTTCAATAGGATTAAGGTCGGGGCTAAGCGACGGCCAATCCAGGACTTGGACACCGGCATTTCTTAAAAAATTCTGGGTAGCAATTGCTGTATGGGGTCGAGCATTGTCTTGTTGAAATGTTAGTCCAGGCCCATGTCTCTGCATAAACGGAAGAAGAACAGGTTGCAAAATCTGATCCCCGTACTGGACAGCATTTAAGTTCCCTTGGACAACAACAAGAGGAGACCGTCCATGTGCACAAAAAGAACCCCAAACCATGACGCTGCCGCCACGTGATCCACGTGACTTTACAATTTTATGAAATTAAAGGCTTCTTACTACTTAATATTGTTAGAAACACTTTAAAATTTATTTGACTTACCAGAAAAAAAAATTTGTTGAAATTCATCAGTGTCAAGTTTTTAATTTGGCTGAGTATATATTGACTTGACCGTGCGCATGGCCAATCTTGACAGCATACCAGTCATAACATTCGGTCAGGCAGAAGGCGGGAAATATGATAAGAGTAACAGTAAGTAGCCTGCAGATTCTCAAAGTTTTTAGCCTGACATTCATTTGACACGGATGTGTTTTTGCTAACGGTAAAATTTTCATGGAATAGTTTATTTATACAAGTTTTATAATTATCCATACTTAAATTCGAACATCACTTGTCTTATGCCAAGTCCGTATGTGTCTTCATTAGAATAGCTGTCGAAATTTTCAATAATATTAATATTTCATTGATAAAAAAATAAGATGAATAATCTATGGTGTAATAAATACTAAGGCCTGCTGCTACAACAGGCAATCGGTATCTCGTCTGTGGAAACGTTATGTATTGTTTTTCTATTTTATTTCACATTACTAAGTCAATGTCCGTGAGTAATGTTCTAGCTACGAAACTTAAAAGCACTTGGGAAATAGACCTATTTTGATCAAAATAAAATATTTAATTTCAACGTATATAAGGCCTATTGAAATGTGGCGAAAAATACATTTAAATTTAAAATAAAATTATCTAAACATTTTGGATCTAGACAAATTTCATCATAAGAGGGATTGATCTAAGATAATGAAATAATAATTAATGTCACTTCTGACCTAGTTAAAATTGACTTGCATATATACCGGTATATATTTTTTTAATTTCACAGTGCTAAGCCTAAATCTGTGAGTAATGTTGTAGCTACGGAACTGAAACACACTTGGGAAATAGGCCTACTTTGATAAAACATTTATTCCAACGTATAAGGCCTATACTACATTTCAACCTTCGCAACTGGTAGAAATATGGCAAAAATACATTTAAAGTAAAATCATCTTAACATTTTAGATCTAGATAAATTTCATCATATAAGCTAGATTTATCTAAGATAATGAAAACTACAATGTTATACTAAACGTTTATAATATAATAAACAAATTAATAATTGGTAATTAATAAAATATTTTTTAAAAATGTAATTTATTATGTTAAGATTCACAGGATTATTTTTATTCAAAAAGAAAATGGCAAATAGATATACATGTATAACTTAAATGTTGTAATTTTTTCAGATCACTTCCACGATTGTAAATGACATACACAGATTATAAAGAGACAGGAGAAAAGGGCCATACTATATACCAGAAAACACTGGAAAACAACGGGAAAACACCGGGAAAACAACGGGAAAACACCATTTTATACTGAATACCGGAAAACACCGGAAAAACACTAAATACCGGAAAACATCCTAAATACCGGAAAACACCCTAAATAGGTAATCGGAGCCTGGTCCTCTGTGTGCAGTTTTGGACCAAGTGAGCGCCGATGAAGGAAGGTCAAGGTCATTACGATGTTCGTTTTACAAATAGCCCCCCCCCCCCCAAAAAAAAAATTTTGTTGATGCCTATTATGTTTTGAATGCAATCAGTCTACCTCCATCATTGACCATATTTTATTTTGTATTTTAATTTTAGTTTTCAGTAAATTTCAGTGTTTTCAGTATTTCAGTAGATTAAACACTGCCCTGGGAGGGCCCCATTATATGCCAGTTGTGCCGGCCTCCCAATTCTTACCAGTAACGCTGGCATCAGGGTGGTACGAATTAGTGGAAGGCACGAGTAGGCCAACTCCTCCCTAGGTAACAAAAAAATCGCATCATAAAACAGCAAGTATCATCAAGAGTGAGATAATAAATCTCTGAATAGTTCGAGTTGAAGTTCCAGGTTTAACCACTATGTGTCCTAATCACCAAACGAAATGGATGCCACGCAATTCTCGGACAGGCTGTAATCTGAAAAGTGTCTATCCTTTCCAAGAGCTATCCATCTCGTTGGAAGGGCTAAAAATCTACTTGTTTCTGAGCTTACTTTCATTCCAGGGTCAAACATAATCACTTGAACCATAATAATATTCAACATATTCCATCATATTCTTGAAAAGGGTTGATCGATAAATTTTCAAGGAAGCAATTGTTGTTTTTGTTTGTGAAATAGAGGACTCTAGCCGATGAGGCTACTCCCCCCCCCCCCCCCGAGAACCTCAGGCAACCAATTTGTTTTATGTACTACTATCGTAATAAAACATTACTATGTAAACCACTTCCTGGTTGCTGAAGAATTACACCGAATGCGTATTCGGAAAAAAATGTCCCCGAGAAAATGTTTTTTCAGACAATCGATATTCGAGATGTCTTCTGTTGCACAAATTATGCTGCACTGTGTAAGAACTTGCATCCTTTGATCTGAAGATTGTAGATGGAAAAGTATCATTTGCACTATTTCAAAGTAAACCTGCATTTTCATATATCATCCCGTAATTTGTGATTAATGACAATGACTGTGGAAATAATATGGGTTAAGGAACGGAAGATCTATGTTCGTCACGTGACTGGACAATTCCACCCCCGTCCCAGCCTGATGATGATCCCTCCCGGATTGGCGAGGCGCGGCGGGGCGCGCTCTCTAAAAAAATCTCGGGCACAGTTTACTCTTCTAAGTTTTCCGGTAGCTATTTAGTAACCCGGAGTTTGGTCCTCGTGTGTGGTTTTGGACCAGGTGAGCGCTGATGTAATAAGTTCATTAACGTACAAGCAAGTGATCGCCTACGGTCAAAGAAAAATTGCTTTTCAGATTTTTTTTTAACAATTTCTTCTCCCAAATTTCTCTCAAAAAAAAATTCAAATTTTTTTTCCAGTATTTTTCTCTGTAAAATTATTTTCTACGGAATGTTTTTTTGTAAAACCAATTTTTCGGAAAAATTCAAATTTTTTTTTTGTGAGAAAATTTTGGAGAAAAAGAAATCGGAAATTTTTTTGGGGGGGTGGGGGCGGCTATTTGTAAAACAAACATCGTAATGACCTTGACCTTCATCGGCGCTCACTTGGTCCAAAACCTCACACAGAGGACCAGGCTCCGGGTTACCTATTTAGGGTGTTTCCGGGATTTAGTGTTATTCCGGTGTTTTCCGGTATTCAGTATAAAATGGTGTTTTCCGTTGTTTTCTGGTGTTTTCCGGTATATAGTATTGCCGAGGAGAAAATAAGAAAAACAGGACTTATTGAATTAATAAAAAGTGAGTATTAGGAAAAGACACATCAGCAACTAACATTATAGAAAGCAACATAATGATAATGATATCATTTTACAGATAAACGTGGGAGAAATTTTAAAATTTTAATAACTTTAAATGTGCCAATAATATTTGTCAAATATCGGCTCTTTGGCTAGA